AGGTCAGTTTCCCGATATACAGAGTGATGCTATGCTAGTGACCGGTTAGGTCGGTAACCCGGTTAGGGTAATGATATGCTATGTGATCTGCTTGCTCGGTTTGTTGACTATGACTGTTATATGATTGTATGTTTTGTGCACATGGTTGTTTGGACTGGAGATGGGTTGAGGCGGGTCCTGCTTTGTGCTGTAGGCCAAGATACCCAGGGCGGACCGGTTGTTCCGAAGGCCCAGCGAGCGGTCCGGATAGGCTGTAGGCCCCACGAGGGCGGACCAGACGTGCCGAGGCTCGGAGAGTGGACCAGGCCGACTGAAGGCCCGATGCGGGCGGACCAGTCACACTGTAGACTCAGAGAGTGGACCAGGTGGGTTGAAGGCCCGATGCGGGCGGACCAACCCCACTGTAGACTCGAAGGACATGACTAGACCTGGAGGATGGATCCGATGGACTGAAGGCCCGATACGGCGGACCAGTCACACAGTAGACCCGATATGCATGGTTGTTCTATGTTCTGTTATGTTATGTATGTTTTATATGTTATGGGCCGGAAGGCAATATGTTTTGGACCGGAAGGGCGTATACGTGGTTGGTATTTTGGGGGTATCTCACTAAGCTTTCGGGCTTACAGTTGTGGTTTAATGTTTTTCAGGTTCTTCAGGAGACCGTGTCAAGGCGAAGGCGCGATCGTACCGCTCCTCATGATTTTGTAGCAATGTGATTCTGGGAATACTCTAATGATTTGTATTGAAAACCTTTTTGTAAACATTTTAATGAAAATCGGGTTGTTTTGAAAAATTTTAATTGGTTGTATTTTTCGGATGTTACAATCGGGGTTTGTTGCGCATTATGTGGGATATGAAGGATTCCAGTGGATTATGAAGAAGTTGTCGCAGGTGGCTACCAACAACGCTGAGTGGAATAAGGTATAGTATCTATTGAACCTCCGATGAAGGTGTTTGGAGGTGACCCAGCTGATGATGATAATCGACATTTTTACATATTTCAGCGATTTTGTGGTGGAACTAATAAAATTAAAAACAATTAATAGTATACATTCAAAATAAAACAATAATCCAATAAGATAGTATTTATTATATTAAAATTATAATAAATAAAAAGTAATATTTCAATAAATTAATAATTCAAAAAAAATTACAAAAATTAATAATCCAATAATTATTTATTATGATGCAAATATTATATATTAAAAATAATATTTGTTGATATATAATAATCTAATAAAAAAATTGCTCAAACAAAAAGAAATGATAAAAAAAATCAACTAAAAGAAATTAATAATCCAATAAAATAATGTTTCGTAAAATGTAATAATCTCATAACATAATATTTATTATGATATAAATATTATATATAAAAAACTATATGTACTGATATATAATAATTCAATAAAAAAGAATTAGTTCGATAAAAAAATTTAAAAAAATAATTAGCTAAAATAAATTAATAATCCAATAAAACAACATTTAGTATATGAAGAAAATAATAAATTGAACGTAATAATACAATAAAAAATAATTAAAATTACAAAAATTAACTAAAAAAATTAATAATCCAAATATTTATTATGATATAAATATTATATATTAAAAACTATATGTATTGATATATAATAATTTAATAAAAAAAATTACTCCAACACTTTTTTTTTTTAAATCAACTAAAATAAATTAATAATCCAATAAAAAAATATTTATTAATATATAATGTTATATATTAAAAATAATATCTATTAATATATAATACTTTATTAAAATAAAATAGAATATATGCAAAAATGGTCCTTATAGTATAGTAATAGATAAAACTGTGAAAATGGTCGATGGGGGTAAAATTGTCATTTTAAGGAACTTAACGGATGACGGACCAAAACCACAACAAAACTTATTGAAAAGGACCAAATCTTCAACTTTTCAAACGTTTGGACCATAACCACAAAAAATAAGAAACCACATTGATCATTTTTGCAGTTTTGTCATCTTTTTATTTGCAAAGTCTCAAAAGCTTCTCAAACATCTTTTTGTTGTTAGTAAAAGGAAAATTTGATGGCTTCATTTCTTCTATATATAACTATTTCATTTCTTCTATATATAACTATTCTAATGGCCGATGTATAATATTTTTATGATATCTTTGGGAGAAAGTCATTGGAGATATGGATCTTAACACGACCCCCTAACGCCAATCACTACCGGCTTCTCCATGATCTTGTGATATTTTTTTGTTTTCCAAATATTGTGATTGTTTGTGTTATGTTTATTAGTTCTCCGAACTGTAAATGTATTGTGAGTCGATATTTGTTTGTGATTTTGAAGATAAATAATAGCAGATGAAATCTATACATGATTTATCTCGGTATGATTTTTTATTGGTTCTTTTTAAAAATTTTGTTATTGATTTTACTATATTTTTGAAGGATTGAAGAAGTGGAAGATCTTAAACTCTGTAAATTCAAAACAAGAATCAATGAATATAGTGGTTGAACATAATAAAGCCGACATGTATACTTAAATTTCTTTTATAAATCTTTTATACATTTAAAAAACAAAGAAAACGAATGATGTATTATCAGAAAAAATGACGTGATGCTTTAAATTATACATGAACAGCGCGTGTAGAAACTGTTTCCAAAGTACTATTTCAAAAGTCATTTGTAACCTATAAAGTTTTTGTAACCTAAAAATTAAGTTATTTATTGATATTAGTTATAGTTTATATTAAGTGAATAAGTAATACAAAACCTTAAATTAATCCTTTTTTACTAAAATTTTGATTGATCTGTAAGTGGAGTAACTACAAATTATATTATGTGAAAATAAACTAATTACAGATTCAGTATATATTTTTTCTATTTTAAAGTTATAATTATATAAGTTATTTATTCCAAATATAAAATAAAAATATTTCATTTTTGTTTAGAACCGACAAATTTTATTATTAAACGCTATCGTAAAAGACGATATTGTAAAATAAGAAAAATGATTTAAAATGACAATCAAAATAAAAGTTGATTTGGTACAATTAAATTTTTAGTGATTTAAAATATGAGGGGTTGTTTGATAACAATCTGACCGGGTCAAATCAGAGGTTTTTATCTGACTCGGTCAGGTAAGCTTGTTTGATTTAGGCTGTTTTTACGTCTGACTCGATCATACACGTTTTACTCGGTCAGTGGAAAAAAACTTGCTGACTGAGTTATAATTCATTTATACCCTTGGTCAAGCGAAATCACATACCCTTCTTCTATATCGCCTCCATTGACATCTCACACACTTCTCTCACCGTCTCATTCCTCCGCCGACGCTGTCTCCTTCCTCCGCTGAACGCTGCCTTCGCCCCTGCCATGGTGAATTTTTCTTCACCGATTTTGAGAACGGTTTTGACAGATATCGTCAAAATCGAATTTCCAATTTTTGTTTTCTGCAATTTCAAATTGAAACTGATCCTTATTTGCTATGAATTTGAAATCGATTTTGTACTCTAAATCGATTTTGGTCACATGGATTTAGGTTGTTGTGGATAACCTTGTGTTGATGTTTTATCACATTCAGTACCCTTTGCTGCTTCTTGATTCAAGCGAGAATGAATCATAGTATATACTTTCACAAAATGAATCATAGGATACACCTCTTTGATTCAAATGAGAATAATTGAAGGGGAAAAGTGGGTAGGTAGAAAATCCAAAATCAGATTTGGAAGGCATATTCGAGAAGTGATTAAAAAGAAGTTCAAGGATAAGATGCTTGATTACAAATTATTCCTCAAAATTGTAAAAACGAACCTCGATTTTTAGTGGAAAATAGCAAAATTACTTGTGTTAATTTTCTAATTTCGTGGATAAAGGAAGGTTAGAAGCAGACAGTTTTATCTGCAATCGATAATAGGGAGACTGCTTTAATGATGCTTTTTGCAGAAGAAGAGCGTATTAACGAAGAAGATGAATTAATATACTAAGGGGTGTTTGGCTTAGCTTTTCAAAGCCAAAAGTTCTTTTTGGAAAAGAAAAAAAAAAAGCAAAAGATGTTTGGCAAACTGGTTTTAAAAGTCACTTTTGAAGTTTTTACATAAGGAAAAGCAACTTTTTGGAAAAGTCAGGAAATCCTGATTTTTTGTAACTTTTCCAAAAAGAACTTTTGGGGTTTGAAAAGCTAAGCCAAACACCCCCTAATGCTAGAAGATGTGTTAATAGAATTTACAAACACGCTGGAGCAAATAAGTACATAATACATACAGGAGAGAAAGTGTAACCTTAGAAAATCCATACACTGTATTAAATAAGCTATCTTTTTTTTTTTTTTTTTTTTTTTTTTTTTTTTTTTTTTAACTCTAAACATGTTATTATTATTATTATTATTATTATTATTATTATTATTATTATTATTATTATTATTATTTTGCAGAAAAACGTACAAAACATCAGGGTAAAATGGTCATTTTGCATCGGTCAGTATATTAAATCAGATGTGTAATCAAACAACATGGTTTCTTACTCAATCAGAATTTCTTACTCAGATAGACCTTTCTCAGTCAGCCATTTTTCAATCAGCAACTATCAAACGGGACCTGAGTTTTGTATTCTTGATTGTCATTTTAAATCATTTTCCAAACAAAATATTATATAAAAGAATGAGGAATATAAATAACTAAAGACTAAACTGCACAAATGGTTCCTATGGTTTGCTCAAAAATGCCACTTTGGTCCAAAAAGGTTTGGACTAGCACCACAGGTCCAAAATTTTCATTTTGTTGCTTGTTTGGTCCAATCTGTTTTTTTTTTTTTTTTTTTTTTCAAAATGATGAATTTGCCCATGTTAATATGATTTTCTCTTTTTTCCTAATTGTTTTTCTGATTTTCAGATTTAAAATAAATAAATAAAAAATAAAAAATAAAAATAAATCTCTCTCTCTCTCTCTCTCTCTCTCTCTCCTTCTTCATTTGTTCTTCATGGTTCTCAAGAACCCCACATCGTCGACTTTACTGTCAGCCACCACTGCCTTCAGCTCCACCTTCAGCCCCCATCGTCTCCGCCACCACCGTCCATTTGTAAACCCTTGCTCTGATCTCGTTGCCATCGTTTATATCTTGATAATCAATAAATTTTGATGGGCACTGTAATCAAGAACATCATCATCAGAATAAATCAACACCTAGATTGAAGCTAAAATCTCTAATGTTATGATCGAACAAACAATATCAAATGACTTTAGATCCTTCTCAGTAGTCTTATAATCGGTTTTCCAGAAAATGATCAAAGTCCAATTTAGAGCCATCAAAGTGTTCTTGAGATTTTACACCATCTATCTTTCTTCCTGATTTATATACACACAATATGAAGATGAACAAGATGAAGATATACGAACCAAATGAAGATTTGAACTAACTTCAATACAAACACACATAAAAACACACCTACAACAACTAATCTCAGTTTTTCATAAACATATGAAGCTCAAACCAAACTCAGATTTAATAAGGTCAACATAAATCGACACACAAACACTCCAAAACATATGAACAATCAAATTTGTAAAGCAAAAATAACAATCAGATTTACAAACCCACAAGAACACCTGATTACAGGATTTGTAGAATCACAAGAACTAATTACCTGATTTATAAAACCCTAGCTTTCTCATATACAAAATCCCGAGATTAACACGAATATAGGTTTGAAACCACACTGATCGATGAACTTGAAAATGAATACACACACAACCATTCAATTTTTTAAGATCTGCAAAAACCCTAGAGGTGTCGTCGCCCTTCTCACTGACGAACGTCGGAATCGAGCTCTGACATTTTTGATTCGTCTTCTTTGGTAGCGATGGTGACTTGTGGTTCCAGGTATGTGGTGGTTTCTGTTAACCGATGTCGGAGAAGGTACCTAGTGGTGCTCAAAATCTGAAAATAACAGATGGGTTTATTGGAGAAACAATGAAGGATTGGATGGTGGCTTTGGGGTGGCGGCAACGATTCTTTTTTAATGTACAAATCTGGCCTCTGAAGTTGTTGATGCGAACATATAGAGGGTTGTTCTGGAGACAATCTTCGGCGATTGGGGCACCGGTGCTGGTTCTTTTCTGATAGTCACAATGGTGGGATAAGAAGACAAACTGAGAAGTTGTATGTAGGTTAAGTAGATAGTAGGTAGGGTGTGGTAGCAAGGGTGGGTATGTATTTTTGTTTTTATTTATTGTGTTTTTCTTAAGTTAGAAAAATAAAAGAAATTAAGAAAAAGAAAAAAATCATATAAAGAAGGGTAAATCGGTCATTATAAAATGATTCAAAAGGTTTTGGACCAAAACCGCAACAAAATGAAAAGATTGAACTGGTGTTAGTCCAAATTTTTTTGGATCAAAGTGACAATTTTCAACTAACCACAGAGATCATTTTTGCAGTTTTGTCATAACTAAAATATATTAACCAAATAAACACTTAGACAATATTTTTTTAACATTTTAATATTTGACTACATTGATCATAAGATTTTTCAAATAAAAATTTTAAATTAGATTATATGATGCTAGTCAAATTAAAATTATAATAATCGAAGAATTCTTAACATTGATGGATGTTAGCATATCTTTAATACATTTCAAACAAACATAAAGATACAAACCTTATTAAATAACTTAAAAATAGTTTTGATGTATGTTTTTCTTAACTTCAATAATTAATAATATCTGTAAAACAAAATAAGAGTTACTTATCAAATATAAATATATGTTTTTATTTTTTAATAGAAAAAACAGCATAAATGGTCCCTGTGTTTTCTCAGATTCTGAAGTTTAGTCCCTGTGGTTTAAAAATCTCATAAATGGTCCCCGTGCTTTCAAATTTTTTGACAGATGGTCCTTATTACTAACTCCGTTAAGTTTTATCCGTTAACTGAAGGGCATTTTAGTCATTTCACACCACAGGGACCATATTTGATCTTTTCAGTTATTTTTTTAAAAAAAGAAAAAACTAAATATAATTATTTAATATATAATCTCTCTCTCTCTCTCTCTCTCTCTCTCTCTCTCCAAGCCACCTCCTCTCTCTCTTTCTTAGCTCATGTTCGACAAGAAAAAAATCGTCTGAACTGCCACTGGTGAAGAATCACTCTCAACCACGGTAAACCACCAAGAAACACCACTGCCAGCACCCATTTTCCCACCTTATACCTCCGACAATTAGCAGCCTAAGCCCCATTTCCCTGTTGCGACCCACTACTACTCTTCTTCCCTTCGCTTTATTGCTGCCAACAACTAGAACAAGACCCACAAAGGGTCGTCGGAAAAGAGAGACTGCTCCTCTTGTTTTGCGACAACCCAGCCATCCACCACACCTTCTGCAACTTCTTTTTCCTTATTTGACCTACAACTTAAACTACACATACATAAATACAATTAAACTTGAAAACCACCAAATTTACAACAAAATTTGAGTCCAAACACCTTCTGCAACTTCTTTTTCCTTCTTTTTCCTTATTTGACCTCCTATGGAGAGTCCAAACTCATATGTGGAGTCACCGGAGCACCAGAATCACAAGACCCCCAACATATAAAGACAACTGAATGAACAGTGAGAGATAAACATCAACATACAAATCAATTTATGGTAGGATGAACACCCACACACTAACTCAAATTGATTTACAGAAACAAAAACAAACATGATTTTAGTTTTTTATTCGAATTTAGGATTCTGATTCTTAAGTTACCATTGAGAATAAAGATCACAAATGATTTCCATTGAGTTTATATTGAGGAAGAAGAACCAGAATGTGCTGGTTGTGATTGAAAAATCGAGATAGGAGGAAGTGGAGTTATAGGTACCAGAATCTGAAGATGTGTTCATCCAAGAATCAAATGAGTGCTTGTTCATAATGAAATCGTAGGCAGATCCTAACCGGATGAATTCGAATAGTCCTAGAAATCGTAAGTGGTTCCTGATGAAATTGATAGAGGAGATTGGTCAACCTTCTTCTCCACCACGACACCATAAAATACCCTAAATGGGAGCGTCAAATTAAATGTCCAAAAAATCCAACTGTAAGCGTCACTATGTATCGTAACTTGGTTTCTAGTTTCGATTTGGGTGAACCACAGAGCCATTAGCAGCTGACCGCAGCGTTTGCAGATGGGTGTTGGAGCTTGGTACCAACGCGTCCATGGCAATGGTTACTGACGCGATGGCGGATCCGGTGGCAAGGTTCGAGGTCTGATTTTCTAGCCATGGAACCAGGTCGTCAGCGTAGAACTCCATTTGGGATTTGCCGTAGGGGAGGAATATGGCTTGGTTGACTATTTCCTCAAGAGAGGGAAACAAAGTAGGGGGAAGCAGGCGTCAAAGAGAGAGAGAGAGAGAGAGAGAGAGAGAGAGAGAGAGACCCCTTTGTAAATAAGAGAAAAACTTCATAAATGGTCCCTGTGGTGTGAAATGACTAAAATGCCCTTCAGTTAACGGATAAAACTTAACGGAGTTAGCAATAAGGACCATCTGTCAAAAGTTTTGAAAGCACAGGGACCATTTATGAGATTTTTAAACCACAGGGACTAAACTTCAGAATCTGGGAAAACACAGGGACCATTTATGATGTTTTTTCTTTTTAATATTTGAATCGTATCTTTATAACAAATAAATTTTTATAGCTTTTTCACTAATTTTATTTCACTTATATTATTTTTTAAATCCATATGATGCATTTATAATGAAAAATAGAAACTTAAACACTTTTTTAAATTCATATCGTCTATTTAACAAGAGGAAGTAAATGATAAAAACGAGCTCAAAAAATTAAAATTAAATAATTAATAATATATTAGAATTCTAAAAAGTCACGATTAAACCTAGAAAAATAGAGAGGTGTAAATATGATATTGGAAAATGGTTCTTTAAAAAAAAGATTGAAAGAAAGAAACATAAAAGAAGATGGTGCAGTGGTTGTTACTTGAGTATTTATTTATTTATTTATTTATTTACTTGAGTATTTATTTATGTATTTTATCGTTGATACCCTTTGTTCTCGGTAATTATTTTTTATAAATTTATGTACTTTTTTCGATTTTCTTCCTAAAATCGGTTTAGGTTGTTGAAATAATTTCTTTTATGATATTCTTACTAAAAAACTTGATTTTATGATGTTTATTTGTAATTTGAATCTATATTTGGTTTGTTTTTCTCATCTTCTAGTTGAAAGGTATGTAATGTTGAATAGTTCAACAATAATAAGAAGTGGAAATGTAAATGTATGAAATGGGAGATGAGACTATTAAAAATCCTAGAGAAACATGAGGAAATTGAACTAAAAGCATATTAGAATATTTTGTAACTTGTTATCTATTGGATTACATAATATAAAAATATAGGCTTAAATGTAAGAGGTTGATACAGTTATTTTCTAAATAAAAACGTTGAATTTAACAACAAATAACGCGTAATGGTAGAATGATTATTTTTATCATTCAACATTTCAATTCAGAAGCTCTAACCAATCAACATTTTAAATTTCAGATCTTAAAAAAATCAAACCCTGTACATATTCAAATATTAAAAATTCATATCCTACCAAAAAGCCCCTAAAGCTATTTTGAATAGCTTTAAAAGCTAAGTGTCTGCTTGTTTTCCTTTGGACTAAGTTCAATAGACTTTTTCTATGACTTGGTCCAAGTCCTTTTGTTTGATTAAGCTATGTTAGACATCTAACCTAGTCCATGGCAGTCCATCACATCTGACTCGGTCTGCTATAGCCACAGATCTCATATGTGCTATCACTTCAGTGGTTAATTTATGATTAGCGGGAATATGCCCAACCATTTTGGCAGAGTTTGTTGCATTCGCTCCTCTTATGCCTCTGCTTAAACCTGACAACAAGATTCATCCAATTGTAGTAGGCATTATATGGAGACGTTTGGTTTCTAAGGTTGCCATGAAAGGTGTGGGTAAAGAATTGGCCAAGTACCTTAATGATTTTCAGTTTGGGTGGTGTGTCCGGGGGTGTTGAGGCTGTGTTACATAGTGCCAATAAGGTATTGAGTGAACACCATGCTGATAGGTCTCTTGTAATGTTGAATGCCTTTAACATGGTGGATAGATCAACATTGCTCCACGAGGTTAAGAGGATGCGCCCTTCTATTTCTTTGTGGGTGAATTTCTTGTACGGGCAAGCTGCGAGACTTTATATCGGAGACCAACATATATGGTCTACTACTGGGGTGCAATAAGGTGACCCATTGGGTCCTCTTCTTTTTGCCCTTGTTTTTCACTCGCTTGTGCACAAGATTAGAGATAATTTTAAGCTCCTTCTCCATGCTTGGTATCTGGATGATGAGACTGTCATTGGGTATTCAGAGGAGGTGGATAGAGTGTTGACCATTATTCACTTGAATGGACCAGGCTTGGAACTTGAGTTGAACATTAAGAAAACGAAGATTTTTGACCCTCCTGTGATGATAGGAAGCTTCATGCCGATTTATTCCCAATGGATATAGGGAGACCTTCTATAGGGGTGAAGCTTCTGAGGGGGGGCTGTTAGTAGAGACACATGGTTTATCAGCGGGTTGGCCATGAAGAGAGCGGCCAATGTTGTTGATTTGATGGGTCTTCTTTATGTGACCCACATAATGAGCTCCTTTTGCTTCGATCATGTATGGGCATTGCAAAACTTTTCTTTGGTTTAAGGACTTGGCAACCGGTGCACATAGAAGAGGCAGCTTTGTTCTTTGACAAAGGGTTGCATAGGTCTATCGAGGATATGGTGGTATGTGGAGGCCCCTTATTTGGAGACATTCAATGACGTTTGGCTTCCTTACCTATTCGTTTTGGTGGTTTGGGTTTGTACTCGGCATACGAGGTTTCCTCCTATGCGTTTGTAGCCTTGAGGGCCTAATCTTGGGCATTACAAGACCACATCTTACGTGATAGTGGCATATGTGGTATTGACTTTGATTACCTATATGCTATAACTCGTCTTCGCAATACGATTCCGGAATTCGACTGTAGCGATTTCACTAATAAGGACACCGCCCCCATAAATCACAAAAAGCATTGGCATGTGCCCTTTTTAGCAAAATCGTCAAAGATATGGAAGTCAACTTCAATATGACTGTTAGACAGAAAGCAGTTTTTGAGTGCCTTCGGGCACCTTATGCTCAGGATTTGCTGCTAAGTATCCCCATTGATGGCCTTGACCATCATATGTATCCTGTGGAGTATCGAACTATTATTCGTTACCACCTCATGATTCCTCTATTCCCAATTGACGAGATATGCCCAGTTTACCATAAGGCATGTTTGGATACCTTTGAGGAACATGCGGTTCATTGTAAAGAGCTCATTGGTTTCAAGTACAGACATGATGTGGTTAGGGATGTTCTCTTTGATGCTTGTCGGCGTGCTGTATTTCTGCGAAGAAAGAAGCGCCTGTGAACTTTTTGACGAACCTGCAGGATGGAAGATCCACACTTAGACCGTCTGATATTTTGGTCTTTGGATGGGTAGGAGGGAAGTATGTGTATATGGAGCTTACTAGAGTCTCTCCTCTCGTCGGTTTGAGGAGTGGGGGTTTCACAGCAGGGCATGCCGCTTTGAAAGCCGCTGCATGCAAAGTGGCAAAACACGAGAATGCATGTATAAAAAATCAACATGTGTTTGTACCTTTTTCGTTTGACACATTTGGTTTTCTTGTACCAGAGGTGGTGGAGTTCCTTAATAGAGTTCAACGGGTCATGCACTCTAATGTCATATCTCCTAGATCCACAAATGTTGTTTTTAAAAGGATTAGTTTTGCCATCCAGAAAGGTCTATCTGTGCAGCTTGTTGCCCGTTTGCTTTCTATCGATATGTATTGAACTATATTATGCTTACCATCATATATAATAGATTATTCAACTAAAAAAAAGAAAAAAATATTATCATTGGGACGATCTCTCTTGCTAATGTTTATGTATCTTCTAAAAATAGATGCTAATTTTTATGTATTTTCTAGAAATTTGATGTTAATGTTTATATATATATATATATATATATATATATATATATATATATATATATATATATATATATATATATTAGTTCTTGCCACCTGTTGTGTATGTATGTTGCCTTGGTGCTCTATATTAGCTTTAAAATATCATATTATAATGTAAAGAATGTTAAATTTCTTTTGAAAGCATGCTAGCCGGAATGTACAGGTTGAAACGTCTACGAATGAGCATGACTCATCCATCTGGTCTCTCATCTGCAATGAATAAACTCCCTGATGAAGCATTTGCTTTAGATTCAGATTGTTTGTATCTATTTTGTTCTTGTTTGGATCACTGGATCACAACTGGTTTGTAATGTTTCTTCTTCTTCTTCTTCTTTTTCTTTAGCATTGTGTAAAATTCGATATTGAAAAGTGTAGTGCAGGCTTATCCCATGACTATAACTCCTTATATATTATGTGGAATTCACATTTACCAAGATATTGAATATTATTTTTCTTTTCCTAAGTGTAGGATTCGTATCAGGTTCAAGACTTATGAGAATACATGTTTGTTCTTGGTGCATATTTATATTGAAAGTAAGTTCCATACTTTCTTTTATTTGTTTGTTATAGCATTTTATTTTTATTTATTCTTATACAATATTATAGTTTAAATAAGTTCATGATACTTTTGATGCTTTTTTGTTCAACTCTTTATAAATTTACATTATTTGTACAATATAAGATAGTTGATATTATTTTCTCAATTGATGGATTTTATTAAACACAAAACAAAAGAGAAGGGTAAAATAATCATTTTCAATAGTCATCACATGAAGCCAAAAGCTTAATCAAACAACATGGTTTCAATCAGAGACAAATACAGTAGCAATTTATGACCCGGTCAGGTTCTAACTCATAGGTCTTACTTAAGGGGTGTTTGAGATTGCTTATTTGAAGCGTTTATTGACTTATTCCAATTTGACATCGGTGATAAGAAGTTTTTAATGTTTTGTAAAAAGATTCCATAAGTGTTTATTGACTTAAATAAAAAGTTTTTGATAAATCAATTTTTATTTACTTATTGACTTATTTAAGAAGATTACATACAAAATAAAAGTTTTTCAAACATTAAAATTAAGTTATCTATCAATATATTTCGTTGTTTTGATACAAGATAAAGTAATCTAATTTTTTTTATCTAATTTTTTTAGAACTTCGATTTAAAACTAGATAAATTAATAAACTACTTTACCAATAAATATAACTTGTTTTAAATACAACCAAACACCCTCCAACA